GTCAGGATTTATCAGATTTCTTGATGGCAATCTTTCTGAAGACAGATCTCAGTGTTTTAACTTGTATTTCTCTAATGGCCAGTGATAACGACCATATCTTTTTCTCTTGTTTTTTCAGACAGGGTCTCACTATGCAGTTCAGGCTGGTCTTGAACTAGCAGTAATCCTCCTGCCTCAGTCTCCTGATTGCTGGGATTACAAGTGTGTGTCACCATACCCAGCTATTTCTTCATGTATTCATTGCCCACTTCTGTGAAGGCTGGCCTTGAACTCACTATGTAGCCCAGGCTGGCCTCCAACTCACTATAATCCTTCTGCCTCAGCTTCTCAAGGGCTAAGATTACAGGCAGGTGCCCCCATACTCACCTTTCCCCTTTTCAAAAAAGTTTTCAGAGGGTATTAAGTTGCCCAGGGTGGCCTCAAACTCGTGCTTCCTGCCTCAGCCTCACAAGCAGGTGGAGTCACATGCATGCGCCACCAAGCCTGGCTAAGCCTGATTTGGGGTAATGAAGTCAAGTGTGTTTGTCCATCCAGCTAGCTACTCATTTTTTCTTTTTTGCGAACTGGGGATTGAACTCAGGCCCTTACACTTGCCAATCAAGCGCTTATTCTACTGAGCCATCTCCCCTGCCTGAGCTACTACAGTTGAAATGAGTAAAATATGGTTTCTCAATTTAAAAACTTGTAAAATTTCTTTTAAATTTAGTTCTTCTATGCAGTTAAGAGTCCTGAATACAAGTGGAATTACAATTCTCCCACCTCAGCTCCCAAGTGCAGGGACTACTGGTGGGCAGCACCATGGCCAGTTACCTTTCCACCACTGTTGCCTAATATACTGAAGTACCTCATGAACTCAAAGCTCACCCTAGGAGCCGTACACACAGAGATGCATGTACACGCACACCACCTCTGCAGTACTGGGTGCTGAAGCCAGGACCTTCACTTGTAGCTACTTCTCTGCCCTTCTTACTACATTGAAATAAGGTGTCCAGGCTGTCCAGGCTGGAACCTGTGACCGTCCTGTCTCTGCCTCCTGGAGTACAGGGATTCCATGGTGTGCACCATCATACTCGGCATTTTCACTTTATCTGAGATTCACAAGGTGGCCTTGTTCACACGTGACACTCTCATCGCGTGACACTCTCATGCTAGATTAAGTCGAAAGGCTACAGTTCAGTTTTCATTCTGAACTAAAATTTTAAATCTGAAAGAAATAAATGGATTACTTCTCTTATTAGTGGATCTGAGGCTGGTTGAGGCCATGTTTCACCCTAAATATACACCTGCTAGGCGATTTCTTTTCTCAGAGAGGGGGACCTGTTATGTTGCTCATGCTGGTCTCAAGTTCGTGGACTCAAGCAACCTGCTTACCTCCCTACTCAGTGGGACAACAGGTGTGCACTGTCACAACCAAGTCAAATGTTTAAAAGTCCGGGGCCAGGGAGCAGCTCAGTAGAATAGGCACTTACTTGCCTGGCAAGCCCAAGGGCCTGAGTTCAATCCCCAGTTCCACCCAAAAATAAATAAATAAAATACATAAATAAAAATAAAGTCTTAGAAGCTGTGGTATAGTTGAACATCAACATTTTCTGGATAGGTGAAAGCTTTTATATTACTTTTTTATTTTGCAAGAAAATAAATTATACAACTTAAAAAATAAAATCCAAAAATTAAGCAGTTCATCAAAATATTTCAGCCTCCTGCACAGACAGCACTACCACTGGAAGTGTACACCATCGTCACCACCTCAGGATGCCGTGGCGCACACTCAAGGGCCGCGCGGAGACCACACCCTAGAACTCACATTTGTTCAGCACTCCGATGACACATGCTGTAGATGACAGGCAAGCTCCCGTCTATGGTTTATTTCACACACATGACCTCGGAAGAATTCATAACAGTATCCCAGTCATTTACATGAAAATAGAAAAACCAGCTTAAGTTTATGATAGCAAATCTTTCTGTAAAACTAGCAAATCTTTCACTCGAATTGTAAAAATTTGTCCTTTGAGCAGGGTTACTGACATTACTGCAAACAATGAAAAATATCGTTTTAGCTATTAAGGTCATATTCTGTATTCAGTATAAGAAAAGTAAAAATAAGAAAGCCAACATTTCATTTTGGAAATTTTAACATTTATGTAAAAAGAGCCACAGAATTAAGTGGGTTGATAGAACTCAAGGACCACCTCCTCCAATACATGTAAAAACTGGAAGACTTCAGAATTCCTGTTACAATCTCTTGAAACCATTAAAACAATAATATTCTAATATTTATCTCATTGTAAGCATAAAAAATGTCATGTATTTTCACTCCATAAATTTTTTTCATGTGTACTTAGTATGGTAATGAAGTGGCAACAAAAGTTACCATTTACAGACAGTTCCATCTTTAAACCAGAAGACAAGCAGTCAAAACTTAACCTGTAGCCAGGCACGGTGGCACAGGTCTGTAATCTCAACACTTGGGAGGCTGAGGCAGGAGGACAGCTGTGAGTTCAAGGCCATCCTGGGCTTCAGAGTGAGTTTCAAGGACAGTCTGAACTACACTGTGAAACCCTGTGTCAAAAAAAAAAAAAAAAAAAAAGAAGGGGAAAATCTAAAATCTAAAAAAAATAATAAATAAAACTTAAATCTAAAAGAAATAGGGGGAGGGAACAGGGGAGAGGCAGGGTGAGGGAGAGGGAGAGAGCAACAGAGAGAGTGAGCGAGAGAGAAAAGACTCTGAGGAGCCTTCCTGCAATGCTACTCATAAAAATGGTTTTTTGTGGTATTGGGGTTTATCTTTTCTTGTAACTGCGGTTTTAACCCTGCTTAGATAATTCTAATTTTCACTACACACTGGAGAAAGAGACTCGGTAAGTAATACTGTGATTCTGTACCTTTAGCAAGTTACTCATTGAAATTATTTGTTCAGACTCATTTTTTTAAAATTAGCAAACATATGTCAAAGCATAAAGAAAATTCAACAGTGGTATAGGCACCTTGTCAAATACAATGGTTTTCATAAACACTAAAAATTAAACTTTTGTATACATAATTTAAAAAAATAATGAAAACTGCAAGTGTACAGTATTGGCTGTTCAACCCGTCAAATACAATTAGGACATAATTAGCTATTTAAAAATTTATGAAATTTAATAGAAAACTTTCGCTATGGATTTAGTGTTACACACTTTGCGTTAAATTTGCCTTTCAGAATCAAAACACCATGGCTCTTTCTTAAATAGCCAAAAAAAGAAAAAGATTAGAAATGCCACAGAGGTTATAATAATAATTATGGTTTAAAAAAAAAATTACAAACTTTAAAGGCCAATAATGTTTCCTACTGTATCTTCCTTTGGCTTTCTTGTATCAGGACAAGCAAATGCCATTACCAAGCTATCTTGTTAAGACATAAGGGCCATGTTATTACAAAATTATTTCTAAATTCCAAATTTATCCATTGTTAACACTCAGCTAATTAGAGAAAACAACACTAAATTTAATTCATCACAATATGTTTGGTCTACAGTTCACATGTGCTATCTTAGAGGATATAAATTATCAAAAAATTTCAATTTTCTATGAGTTTCAGAACAGGCATTTGACTATTACCAGCAAAACCTTAAGTGTTTTATTTAAATTTGCTTTCCTTCACTGAAGCAGGAAGCACACAATTCTTCTTGAGGTTGGCGGCACATTCCATAAAAATACGTTCTTGCAAGCACTCTGATATAACCTTGTATGCCTTCCAGCAATCTTATTTCCTACTTTTTTTCAAAACCATACTTTCAAATATTACTTAACATCAAAACAATAGAAAATAATTTTTAAGAAAATCTGAAACATGCACCACAATAAATAAAAATCCATACTGAGCCATTTTGGTTTCCCAATGGGGAATACAATTTTTCTCTTTTCAGTTGTTCAAGTTCTCAAGTCCCAAAATTTCCACTGCTCTGGGAATTCAGTTTCCAGCAACTATAGAGTTGCTGCTTTTGATTGACTGAAAGGAACAGGGTAACTAACTGCTGCCTTCTGAACATTTTTTAAATGTTTATTTTAAAAATATATAAATATATATGTACATATTTGGCAAGTTTACTGCTCGTGTTAAGATTGTAACATCTTTGTTCATCCTTTTCAGGTCCTATGTTGGGGTCTCTCTTCCTCCTAGGTAACTGACAGTTACAACTTTTTAAAAGAGAATGATTTTTTTTTTTTTTTCTAGAAACCTGAGGCTGCAGATTCCTAATCATGGAGACTTCAAAACATGAAAATATTCCTATGCTACAGATTAGGAGACCAGTCCCATAAATGTATTCTACCAGAGCAGATTTCGGCATCGTTTTCAATTAGACATGGCATAATAAATATTAGGAGTATAAATATTAAGTGTGTTAGTGAGCACACTTAAGATGCCTGTTTTGCAGTTCTGACTCTGCGGTCATAATGACCTCCCTGCCTCGGTTCGGCAGCACGGGTACTAAAATTGGTGCCATAATGACCTCCTTATCCCCCTAATTTTTCTCAAACAACTGAAGCAACAACATAAGCCTCACTTTCAAACAAGCTCTCCAGCCACATATAATTTTTTTAAAACTTGTTATTTAGTAACAAATAACTAAAGCAACAGTTTCCTGCTTTAAAATTTTTTGCAAGTTAGAAATATTTAATACCATTTTGTAGTCCACCCGTGGTGCTGCAACAGTGCTGGCTACCTCCATGCTGTGCAGCCCCCACGTCTCACCTACATCTGCCCTCTCCCAGCGCTGGTGTGCAGCTCACTCTTCATCACAAGGAGCCAAGAGTGCTACTTCTAGTTTTAATTGTATTAAAAAACAAAACAAAACAAAACAAAACAAAAAAAAAAACCAAAGATAACAGCATTTTTCAGTGCACAAATATCTTAATATCCTTCCTTGTGCAAGTACACTTTTGTAAGAGGAAAAACAAAAGAGAGAAAAGCAACAAGAAACCCGCCTTCACCCTCCCATTGTGTTTTTCCTGGTGCATAAAAATCAAATTTACTTTTAAAAGTTCGTATTGGGCTCTTCATGAATGCAAGTTTCTCCACAAAACAGCATGCTGTTACAGAGTGTGCAACATGAAGGGAACGCCACCGTGCTGACGAGTATGACTGGCAAAAGAGAGTCGCTCTGGAAAGGTAAGGCAGAGATTTGAATATTTATGTAATCAAAGTCCAAATAAACCTTTCTCCAGCTCAAACTGTGACAACTTTCTGCCCAAGCACTCCAAAATTTGTTTGCTTAGTCTTGTCCACGATATTCAAAGTTATGCCATATATATGAAAGTGTTGATATCGGATTCATCTCTTCTGATGTATTTGTGCTCTATTAGCCATTCTATTTGCTCTTTTATCATTTTCTTTTGTGGTAAGAACATATTTTTCAAAATTTCTACTAATTCAGTCTGCAGCTGAGCATTACTAATTTTCTTTCTCATTTTCATTATTTGTATGATAGCTTCCTAAAAGAAAACATAAAATGAAAGAGTATTAATATATTAAGTAAAACAAAATGAAAAATGACTTTTTATCTCTAGTCCATTCTCTATCCAGTATCAAAATGAACAACAATCACTAGGGGATTAGCATAAGATGAGTATTTACAGAACAAATAAATTATCTTTCTCATTTCTATAAAAGAAAACCTACTTATTATAGAGATTTTGAAAATAAGGAAAAGCAAAATTACCTGTAACCTCTCTGCTAAAGAAAAGCTGCATTTAGTATTTGGATACATTTCCTTTCATTTCTTTTTTTCACAGCACACACATTTTAAAAAGTGATCTTAGCTATGAATACAATATGTATATAACCTAGTACTGTGTTAAATATAAGATGCATGAAACTCCTGATAAACACAGAGTTATTCCTCTGTGTAACAGTAGACAGAAGTCAGTTGGTGTCTGTTCTAAAAATCAGTAAGAACAGCTGGGTGTAGTGGCGTACACCTAGAATCCCAGAACTCTGGAGGCTGAGAGAGGAGGACTGCCTTGATTTCAAGGCCAGCCAATAACTACCCAGCAAGGTCCTGTCTCAAAACCCCCCAAATAATTATTGTTCTTTATATACCAGATTAATAAATTAATGCTATAATATCTTCAGTTGGTAATGATTTTTCAATTGCATGTCTTTAATTTTCTAAAGGAATGAATAAACATTTTCATTTAGGTCAATTTTACTAATATTTCTCTAGGAAATTTCTTTACTTACTATTAAGCCTTGTAATAGAAGTTATCTGAAAACTACTAAACCTTTTTTTTCTTAACCTTTTCCAGAACAAGCCATCTCTTTAGCCAAAAAAGTTTATGTGCCTTAGTAGAGCTAGAATCCATGATGAAGGAAATGTGAAAAAGAAACGCAGCTGGCCCTCTGCACTCCTGGGTCCCGCAGCCACAGTCAACCAACCTTAAACCAAAAATATAATCACCAGGCCTTTGATGGTTGATCTGTATTGAAAATGTAGGAAAGTGTTTTCCTTAACATTATTTCCAAAGTGATGCAGTATAACAATTATTTGTATAACATTTACTTTGCATTGGTATTATATGGACTTTAGAGATGATTCAAAGTACACACGAGGGAATGCACAGATTATATCCAAATATTCACCTTCTTACATAAGGGATCAAAGCACCTGCAGATGCTGCTATCTGTGGGAGCAGGGCTCCTAGAACCAGTTCCTGGTGGACACTACGGGACCACTGTATTTTCTTTTAACATTTAATATGCAACTTTGTTGGATTTAATAATATCGGGAAGGGGCCGGGGAGATGGCTCAGTAGGATAAGCACTTGACTGGCAAATGCAAGGATCTGAGTTCAATCCCCGGTTCCGCCAAAAAAAATAAATAAATCAAATAAAAAATAAAAAATAAATTAATAGTATTGGGAGTCATGCACTATTTAAAGAGATAAAAATCCCTTCAAGTCCCCTACATGACCATTGCTTCACCATCACTACAAGGTCAGCTGAATGAATTCCTCTCTCTCAACATATCCAAATAACAAGTTTTTTTTTTTTTTTTTTTTTGCCAGCACTAAGCAAGTTCCTGAATACAGATCATAGTTTTTGTCAAAGGTACAGAAAGAAGGAAGAGAAAGTCTGTTTTTCTAGGCATGGGAAGGAACCAGGGAGGAAAAGAAGGGACAGTTCTAAATTCCCAAATTCTCCTCTCTGGCTTTGATAAGGATGAGAACAATGGTTAAGTCAGAGGAGCGAAGAGGACAACAGCGCAGTGCTCCTGGCCCTGGGTCCACTTTCCAGTGCTGCAGGTCCCCACAGCGAAGGGCCACGTGCTAGGGAAACCGACCCCAGCTTCCTCCAGTGCAAGCCCAGTCCGAGCAATTTAGCAAGACCCTGTTTTGAAATACAAAGGACTGGGGATATAGCTTAGCACTCTCTGGGTTCAATCCCCATGAAAGCTGCCTTTGCCTCATGCTGAGCCTCCTGCCTCAGTCTGCTAAGTGCTAGAACTATAGGAGCACATAACATGCCCAGCCAAATTTTATATGAAAGGGAAGAGAAAAACAAAATCAAACAAACAAAATGAACAAACAAAAAACCCCCAAGTTGGGTATTTCTCTCTATTCAATCTCTGTTGATACCTCTTAGTAAATCTATTCTACACAGGTCCTACTCACTACTTTAAAATAATGCCAATGAATTTCTAGGTTTCTCAGTTTATTTTCTTATTTACAGTTTATTTTCTTATAGAGAAATAAGTGGTTTTCGTTTATTAATATTTTTTCTGCTACTTTGTTGTATTATATGATCAACCAATAAAGAAATATTTTGTTATTTCCTCTAGTCTCATTGCAATAGCCAAGAGTTTCAAATATTAAATATAAAGAATAAAACTAGAAAAACTTGGCTTTTAAAAGACTACCTAAGCCTGGAATGATAGCACATTTTTGTAATCTCAGCACTTGGGAGACTGCGGCAGGAAGATGGCCTCAAGTTTGAGAACAGCCTGCACTGTCTCAAACCCCCTACACACACACACACACACACAC